GGGAGAGGCACTGTCAAGAAATTTTAATGAAAATAAGAAAAAATTTTGGAGTTAAACAAGTTAAGAAAGCCTAGGGAAAGTATGGATTTGTCCGTTAAAAACAGAGTAGGGGAGTTAGTAGATGGGGAGAGGGAGGTATTAGGTAGATGGCGAGAATATTTTGAGGAACTTTTAAATGTTGAGGAAGAAAGGGAGGCGGTAATTTCATGCACTGGCCAGGGAGGTATACCATCTTTTAGGAGTGAAGAAGAGCAGAATGTAAGTGTGGTGGAGGTACGTGAGGCATTACGTAGAATGAAAGGGGGTAAAGCAGCTGGAACTGATGGGATCATGACAGAAATGTTAAAAGCAGGGGGGATATAGTGTTGGAGTGGTTGGTACTTTTGTTTAATAAATGTATGAAAGAGGGGAAGGTACCTAGGGATTGGCGGAGAGCATGTATAGTCCCTTTATATAAAGGGAAAGGGGACAAGAGAGATTGTAAAAATTATAGAGGAATAAGTTTACTGAGTATACCAGGAAAAGTATACGGTAGAGTTATAATTGACAGAATTAGAGGTAAGACAGAATGTAGAATTGCGGATGAGCAAGGAGGCTTCAGAGTGGGTAGGGGATGTGTAGATCAAGTGTTTACATTGAAGCATATATGTGAACAGTATTTAGATAAAGGTAGGGAAGTTTTTATTGCATTTATGGATTTAGAAAAGGCATATGATAGAGTGGATAGAGGAGCAATGTGGCAGATGTTGCAAGTTTATGGAATAGGTGGTAAGTTACTAAATGCTGTAAAGAGCTTTTATGAGGATAGTGAGGCTCAGGTTAGGGTGTGTAGAAGAGAGGGAGAATATTTCCCGGTAAAAGTAGGTCTTAGACAGGGATGTGTAATGTCACCATGGTTGTTTAATATATTTATAGATGGGGTTGTAAAAGAAGTAAATGCTAGGATGTTCGGGAGAGGGGTGGGATTAAATTATGGGAATCAAATTCAAAATGGGAATTGACACAGTTACTTTTTGCTGATGATACTGTGCTTATGGGAGATTCTAAAGAAAAATTGCAAAGGTTAGTGGATGAGTTTGAGAATGTGTGTAAAGGTAGAAAGTTGAAAGTGAACATAGAAAAGAGTAAGGTGATGAGGGTATCAAATGATTTAGATAAAGAAAAATTGGATATCAAATTGGGGAGGAGTAGTATGGAAGAAGTGAATGTTTTCAGATACTTGGGAGTTGACGTGTCGGTGGATGGATTTATGAAGGATGAGGTTAATCATAGAATTGATGAGGGAAAAAAGGTGAGTGTTGCGTTGAGGTATATGTAGAGTCAAAAAACGTTATCTATGGAGGCAAAGAAGGGAATGTATGAAAATATAGTAGTACCAACACTCTTATATGGATGTGAAGCTTGGGTGGTAAATGCAGCAGCGAGGAGACGGTTGGAGGCAGTGGAGATGTCCTGTCTAAGGGCAATGTGTGGTGTAAATATTATGCAAAAAATTCGGAGTGTGGAAATTAGGAGAAGGTGTGGAGTTAATAAAAGCATTAGTCAGAGGGCAGAAGAGGGGTTGTTGAGGTGGTTTGGTCATTTAGAGAGAATGGATCAAAGTAGAATGACATGGAAAGCATATAAATCTATAGGGGAAGGAAAGAGGGGTAGGGGTCGTCCTCGAAAGGGTGGAAAGAGGGGGTAAAGGAGGTTTTGTGGGCGAGGGGCTTGGACTTCCAGCAAGCGTGCATGAGCGTGTTAGATAGGAGTGAATGGAGACGAATGATACTTGGGACCTGACGATCTGTTGGAGTGTGAGCAGGGTAATATTTAGTGAAGGGATTCAGGGAAACCGGTTATTTTCTTATAGTCGGACTTGAGTCCTGGAAATGGGAAGTACAATGCCTGCACTTTAAAGGAGGGGTTTGGGATATTGGCAGTTTGGAGGGATATGTTGTGTATCTTTATACGTATATGCTTCTAAACTGTTGTATTCTGAGCACCTCTGCAAAAGCAGTGATAATGTGTGAGTGTGGTGAAAGTGTTGAATGATGAAAGTATTTTCTTTTTGGGGATTTTCTTTCTTTTTTGGGTCACCCTGCCTCGGTGGGAGACGACCAACTTGTTGAATATATATATATATATATATATATATATATATATATATATATATATATATATATATATATATATATATACACACACACACACACAACAATTCGCAATCGGGCGAAATTATTTACAAACTCAGTCCACAGCAGGATTCGAACCTGCACACACTGCATCAAAGTACGGAGCTGTCTGGGGATCTGGCTGGGTGTATAAAGTACAACGTATTTTGATGATGTAGGTTTATCAATTCCTACTAACCCTCATGACCATTAAGACACATTACCATCTTTATTACCGAAAGGTTCCGCCTACACAGCAGGCTTCTTCAGTCCAATACAGAAAACAGCAGCATTCTAGAAGCAGGTGAAACACACTATCATACAAGTTCAGCATGACCTTCTCTAGTCTTGAGGGACTGACTCGTCAAGGGTGAAGGACTGATTACGTCAAGACTGCTGCGTGTGTTTCCAGAATTCTACTGCTTCTTGTATTCGACTGAAGAAGCCTGCTGGGCAGGATAACGTTTAGGCACAAAGCTACCTGTTTCACCTGTGTCTTATTTATTGATTTGTCGGTCTTGTAAACCATCAATGAGCCTACTCACTCTGATATTTTCTGTGAAAAAAATAAACATTTTATGTGACCTGAGTTTCTCATTCTCTGTTACGAGAACTGAAAGTTAGTTTTTCACGTCATACACCATCTTTATATGAAGTAGTAAACGCATCAAAAATATGTTCGATTTTAAAACTCACGTTTACCATCACTATGAGGCTACCTACATGACAACATAAGAATAGTGAACCACTACAGTAGGCCTGCTAGCCCATGCTAGGCTTGCCACCACTACAGCAGGCCTGCTAGTCCATGCTAGGCTTGCCACCACTACAGCAGGCCTGCTAGCCCATGCTAGGCTTGCCACCACTACAGCAGGCCTGCTGGCCCATGCTAGGCTTGCCACCACTACAGCAGGCCTGCTAGCCCATGCTAGGCTTGCCACCACTACAGCAGGCCTGCTAGCCCATGCTAGGCTTGCCACCACTACAGCAGGCCTGCTAGCCCATGCTAGGCTTGCCACCACTACAGCAGGCCTGCTAGCCCATGCTAGGCTTGCCACCACTACAGCAGGCCTGCTAGGCTTGCCACCACTACAGCAGGCCTGCTAGCCCATGCTAGGCTTGCCACCACTACAGCAGGCCTGCTAGCCCATGCTAGGCTTGCCACCACTACAGCAGGCCTGCTGGCCCATGCTAGGCTTGCCACCACTACAGCAGGCCTGCTGGCCCATGCTAGGCTTGCCACCACTACAGCAGGCCTGCTGGCCCATGCTAGGCTTGCCACCACTACAGCAGGCCTGCTAGCCCATGCTAGGCTTGCCACCACATACAGCAGGCCTGCTGGCCCATGCTAGGCTTGCCACCACTACAGCAGGCCTGCTGGCCCATGCTAGGCTTGCCACCACTACAGCAGGCCTGCTGGCCCATGCTAGGCTTGCCACCACTACAGCAGGCCTGCTAGGCTTGCCACCACTACAGCAGGCCTGCTGGCCCATGCTAGGCTTGCCACCACTACAGCAGGCCTGCTGGCCCATGCTAGGCTTGCCACCACTACAGCAGGCCTGCTGGCCCATGCTAGGCTTGCCACCACTACAGCAGGCCTGCTGGCCCATGCTAGGCTTGCCACCACTACAGCAGGCCTGCTGGCCCATGCTAGGCTTGCCACCACTACAGCAGGCCTGCTAGCCCATGCTAGGCTTGCCACCACTACAGCAGGCCTGCTAGCCCATGCTAGGCTTGCCACCACTACAGCAGGCCTGCTAGCCCATGCTAGGCTTGCCACCACTACAGCAGGCCTGCTGGCCCATGCTAGGCTTGCCACCACTACAGCAGGCCTGCTGGCCCATGCTAGGCTTGCCACCACTACAGCAGGCCTGCTGGCCCATGCTAGGCTTGCCACCACTACAGCAGGCCTGCTGGCCCATGCTAGGCTTGCCACCACTACAGCAGGCCTGCTGGCCCATGCTAGGCTTGCCACCACTACAGCAGGCCTGCTGGCCCATGCTAGGCTTGCCACAACTACAGTAGGCCTGCTGGCCCATGCTAGGCTTGCTACAACTACAGTAGGCCTGCTGGCCCATGCTAGGCTTGCTACAACTACAGCAGGCCTGCTGGCCCATGCTAGGCTTGCCACCACTACAGCAGGCCTGCTGGCCCATGCTAGGCTTGCCACCACTACAGCAGGCCTGCTGGCCCATGCTTGGCTTGCCACAACTACAGTAGGCCTGCTGGTCCATGCTAGGCTTGCCACAACTACAGTAGGCCTGCTGGCCCATGCTAGGCTTGCTAGAACTACAGTAGGCCTGCTGGCCCATGCTTGGCTTGCCACAACTACAGTAGGCCTGCTGGCCCATGCTAGGCTTGCTAGACAACTACAGTAGGCCTGCTGGCCCATGCTAGGCTTGCCACCTGACACTCAACCACACCTGCTTCACACCTAAACTCACTCCTATTAAGATATCCCAGGATGATTCGTCATAATTCACCCTTTACTAACCTGAACATTATAAAATCGATGTGCTTAGAAATTCACACAAGAAACGCCTATGATACCAATAAAAATTTAAACAAATGGACGTGCTTAGAAATACAGATATATCGAAAACACGTGCAAGATTAACTTCCTGTAAGTAGTGTATGACACGGTCTTAAGTGTCTGGAAATACACAACCAGATGTAAGCTTCAGAGTCAGGTTTTATAAGGATCTAAATTAACTCGGGGAAACTTCGTCTGAAAATAACTAACAGGATGCTGGAACTTTGTTTGCCTTTGCAACTGGGCGTATGGTCAGACTTTTCTGGTACCATCTATCAACGGGGCTCATACTGACGAATACTGAAGACGATTACCTTTTTTCCGGCAATATTCCTTATACCTGCTGCTGGTAGCATGTTGAAGAGTGGCGGGCCACGGATGTTGACGCAGTTCTCTCTAAATGTACCTATAACACAAGGAATGAGGTAATGTCAGTCTATGTATGCCACAAGTGTACTTAATATTATGTATACATAGCGACCATACGTGTCTTTATAAAATCACAACTAAAACATGTATATGTTTATCAAGGTTTCAGAAACTACGAGGTATAAAGTACAGCTTTACTATAGCTGTACTCTTTACATGGCACTTTAATACAGTAAGGGAACTTCATCAGTGACAACATTGTACTTCGTTCACAGTCTTTTCCTCATCACTGGGCCACACTAAGTAAAGCTTGACCTAGGATAAGTACAAGTGAGGCGTATGTCAGAAGGTACCTTATTAAGACATAATAAACAGATACCTTATATTTCTTAGTAATAGATCAGACAAAATTTAGATATAAATCCACATGTATTTCAGTTTAGCCTTTCTTGGGGCCTAGCTTCCAGACCTTTTATGTATCCCCATACTGAAGTGTGTTCTGTAGTTTAGTAGAATGTATTTGTGAATTAAGGCGAGCAGTGTCAAAAGCAATGGTAGTGAGAAAGTTACAGAGATCTTGTGGTAGAGAAGAAGAGAGAGCATGTTGATGTTCACTCCCACAAGATCTCTGTAACCTCACTACCAATGCATTTGACACTGCTCGTCTTAATTTGCAAATTCATTCTACTAAACTACATGACAAATTTCAACGCCTTATTTCAGATAGCCCATGGTCTAAATTCTCCCATCCATGTGCTCTTGCGCTACCGTCTACACTCTACAAGATGGATATGGGGGGCACAATATACTAGCCATTTCGACGTCAAAATTTCATTATATCTGCTAAGGAGATGTGCTAAAAGTCTCGTTATTTCAAAATCGCATTGGTTTTGGGAAACGGTGTTGGTGTTTAAAGAGGATGCTAGGCATTTTCTATGTTCGGTCCCTTTCTTGATGACAAATTTTGTTTCTGCCTAGTTCATAAGATGGTTTTGGGCGACGTATTATTGATATGTGATCAGCGTGCGTATCTGTGTTCACAAATGCGTGTGTCGATATTCTTTGATGTGTCGAATATTCATGAAGTCGGTCACATACCACTCCAGTCATGAAATTGCAGTACCTGTTAATGGTTCAGGAAATCATCGCCCCTGTGACCTAGCCTTGGACCGGCTCTCCTAAACTGGAAATATTGCGTAAGAAGTGTTAACACAGAATAGTGAAGGTGAGTATGTACTGAATGTAAGCAGAAGTTCTGTAAGATGTAACTATTATTTTACACGGATATATAATGAAAAAACACCAGCAAGTGTGCCAGTGCAAAACATTAAACAGGCTTCTCAAACTTTCTTGCTTGAACCTAATCAGTGTAGTCTAGACTCGTTAGTATTACTGGAATATAAAGCAGTATCGACCAAGCCTACTTGTGTAAATTATGTGGAAATGCTGATTAAGGATAATATTTTAAAAAATCTTGTGTGTGTATAAAAGTTGTCGTCACGGATTAACATCCTCGCATCTTATATGGCAACAATGTTGGCAGACATTTAAATCCTTACATCATATCCGCCAACATTCTTCACATCTCTGCCAACATTGTTGTCATATGTTGATATCGTTGCAGCATGTCTGCCAAGACAGTTTTCATGTTTTTAATATCTTCGCATCATGTCTACCATCACTGGAGAAGACGAGACCACCTGACAGTGTAAAGGCTGCCAGAGTTGTATTGGCTGTATTGAGTTACAGTAGACACAGTACAGCAACATTACAGCTCTCAACATACATTAGTCAATCAGCCAGTCACTTGCCCTCACTTCTCACATTACGTCAAAGAAATGTGAAAGTTGTCGTGTTGACAAGGTTCTATCTGATATATCTTTAAATAGGTGAATGTTTAGGCTTTGAAGAAAACATTGATGCATATTTTAAAATGATAATATTTAGAGTTTTGACAAGAAAACACAGCACACACTAGAGTTGTTTTTTTTTTTAATTAAAAAGAGGAGCCATATGGCGGTGTTTTGGTCCCTCCTCGACCATTTTCAAGTCAGCATTTGAAACATCTGTTTCATTATCGTTATGTTGTAAAGCCTTTTAAAAAATTGGATCCAAAGTGCATTTTTTCACAAATATAAATTGTAATTTGCTTGTTTTGTTTTTGTTGCATAGAGTTCACAGTATGTAGAACTCGATTCAGAAGTAATCTATGTAAGTATTATTTTAGGGGAATCCCCGTCATCACAGCTATTACACATTTATGCAATTTGCAGACTTCACAGAGGTCGGCTTACAAGGATTCTGGGTTAAATCCCAGACAGGGCGATTTTTCCCCGCTGCCTCAGTTTACTTAACAGAAAGTAGGTGCCCCGGTGTTAGTGGAGGGTTGTGGGTGGCATCCTGGGCGGTGGTGAGAGGATGGCAGTAAAGACGGTACACCACCATTATAACCCTTGCTCCTACATCGTTTAGAAGGTAACCACAAATAAAGATCTCTATTGAAGACAGAGAAAGAGAGAGAGAGAGAGAACAGGTCTTAGTAGGTAGGAACAAAGAAAATCACGTGTTATGAGGCAGTTAACAGCGCCAGGTCTTGTCTTTTAACTCTCGCTGAAGTCACTGGTGTGTGTGTTAAGAGGCAGGACCATGAGCTGCAGGCCAACCGGTGGACACAGACACGCCGGGAAACCTGCACGTCTTTTATCACGCCTTTCACTTTTGTGTTATCTAGTGATAGCAAAGCACTTTAGAAGCTCCATTACTGTCAGTTACATTAACAGTGGTGGTGGTAATGCGCGCTCTCACACCCTCGCCATTACAACCTTCATTTTCTTACGCGTTATACTGCGTCAATTCCTCAACGTTTTTAACCTTGACAACACTAATTTTTTTTACGTTACTTCAGTGTAAGCTACATAAATAAGTGCATAGTGAACAACCAGTAATCAAAATGGCGCTTCATACGTGGAGAACGTTAAAAACAACACGTTCGGCACGTACCCTTATCTTTATACATTTGACGAGCTTCCAGTCTTTCTACTCCCGGAGCTCGGCCATGGGCCAGGCTCGTCTAGTGGTAGCCTGGTTAACTAGGATGTTGCTGCTGGTGGCCCGCAGCTGTGAACGTGCGTGTTTTCGAACGATCCGAAGTGCGACTGAATTTAAATATTAGACATTTGTACGTAGGTTATCTTAACGTGAATTATCGTAAATTTACATATAGTTAACCGTCAAGACGCAATTTGCATAAATGAGAGGGTAACCTCTGGCAGCGGAGAACATGGCGCTGTTGCTAAATTCGTTGTTAACAGTACGCTGGATACAGAGGGTGTCAGGACACGGGTGTGCGAGGCTCTCACTGTCTGTTCTTCGTGTAGTTATTCTTATCCTGTCTTTTTTGTAATGTCGGAGATACTTTCACAAAAACTGCATTTCTCCTGTACATGTTATAGACTATCCTGAGAGATGGTAGTGCCCCAATGGAAATAAGTAAAGGACCCCAATGGAAATAAGTTAAGGACCCCAATGGAAATAAGTAAAGGACCCCAATGGAAATAAGTAAAGGACCCCAATGGAAATAAGTTTAAGGACCCCAATGGAAATAAGTCACTCTGTCTGACTTTTTTGGGTTATCCTAGGTTCTCTACACATATGCTGCTATGTATGATAATTCTATGTAACTGTATTTGTGTATACCTGAATAAACTTACTTACTTACTTACCAAGTGATAGTAACTCCGGCTCTGCTGAGAGTACACTTCTCAAACTGATAGTGTCTTTCAGCTCAGGCTGATGCATTTTAATACTGTGTGAGAGCCTGGAGTTTACCTGGAGAGAGTTCCGGGGGTCAACGCCCCCGCGGCCCGGTCTGTGACCAGGCCCCCTGGTGGATCAGAGCCTGATCAACCAGGCTGTTACTGCTGGCTGCACGCAATCCAGTGTACGAGCCACAGCCCGGCTGGTCAGGTACCGACTTTAGGTGCTTGTCCAGTGCCTGCTTGAAGACAGCCAGGGGTCTATAGGTAATCCTCCTTATGTATGCTGGGAGGCAGTTGAACAGTCTCGGGCCCCTGACACTTATTGTATTCTCTTAACGTGCTAGTGACACTCCTGCTTTTCATTGGGGGGATGTTGCATCGTCTGCCGAGTCTTTTGCTTTGAGCCATCCTACGTGACGGAATATGACAGGCATAACATAGCTAGCTTCTGTTTCCACTATGTAGTACCAGAAGGCAGATGGAGCCCATTAAAGAAAAATGGAAAAATTGTTTGAGAGAGATATATCATAATCTACACTTGGAAAATCCTGGAAGGAATGGTCCCAAATCTGCACACAGAAATCACTCCCTACGAAAGTAAAAGACTGGGCAGGCGATGCAAAATAACCCCAATTAAAAGTAGGGGCGCCATTGGTACACTAAGAGAAAACACCATAAGTGTCCGAGGCCCAAGACTGTTCAGCAGCCTCCCATCAAGCATTAGGAGAATTACCAATAAACCCCTGGCTGCCTTCAAGAGAGAGCTGGACAGATACCTAAAGTCAGTGCCGGATCAGCCGGGCTGTGGCTCGTACGTTGGACTGCGTGCGGCCAGTAGTAACAGCCTGGTTGATCAGGCCCTGATCCACCGGGAGGCCTGGTCATGGAGCGGGCCGCGGGGGTGTTCATCCCCGGAATAGCCTCCAGGTAACCCCCCTGCTCTCTCTCCCACCCCTGTGCTCCCTCTGCCCTCACCCCCCCTCACCAATGTGCTCTCACTGCCTCCATCTGATAACATTATATCAAGACGTCACCTGATGGATTATTTTTGGCGCCAGGTGAATAATCTACTGACAAATAAGATCAAAGACAATCTCTGCGCTACTAGTCTCTCCTAAAATAGAATTCAATCCTTTACATTCCAAAACGAAACTTACACAGTTGGTATCCAATCCTGCGTGTTAAGAACGTAAGTGGTAAATAAGTTCACGTACAGACTACCTTCACACATGCCTAAATGGTCCAAGTCGGGCCGAAACGTCGTCGTAACCTCGACATC